ACTGCTGCTGGTGCTAGAGGTAAGCCTGCAGCTAGCTGCTGCGTTTTCACGTGGGTGCTGGAGATTCACACTCAGGTCATTCTTTAGCATCAAGAGCTCTCTTTTATCCACTGAGCCATCTCCCCAGCAACCTTCCTTGCATTTCTACTGCCAGGAATAACAAGATAAAAAAAAAAAAATGGGTCACACACTTATGGAGCAACTCAAAACTTCCTCCATAAGAGGAAGTGTGGAAGAAGGGAAGGCACAGGGCCGGGATCATCTGATCACTGTTTCCTGGAACAAGGTTAAGCAATCCTCCTCCTTCCAGCCCCTCCTCTCATCTCCTCAGCTTCTACCATCACACCCCATGACTATACATGTACCACAAGGCTCTCTCTCAACTCTTGCAACAGTCTGGTGCAATTTTTCAGATGGCACAACTGATGCCATGTGAAGTGGATGTACATTCAAATGGTCACCGGGAAGGCTGAGGGGGTGGCTCAGTCAGTAAAGTACTTGTTCTCCAAACACAAGGATCTGGATTCAAGTTCCTGGCACTCACATTAAAAAAAGAAAAAGAAAAAAACTATGTGTAAAGGTAGCTTTTATTTCCTTGGATGGAGGGATGAGATGAGAGCTGTACCAAGATGTGAAAATACACAGCTTGGCCTGAGCTTTCTGTTTCTCTGTTCAAACTACCCCAAGGCCAGACCTGAAAGCTTCTAGCATCCGCACAATCTAATCTAGGCCTAAAGTGTTTCAGCCTCTGAGACTTACTGCTGAATAAGCTCATCCCTTCCTAGTTCTTTCTGAGCTCTGGCTGGGTGGTCAGCTCAGCTCTTCTGTCTCAAGCTCCTCTCCAAGCTGACTGGCTACTCTAGATCTAGACCTCTCACTGAATTGCCTTGCTTGGTCGCAAACTAACTCTGGCAATCTGTTCTAATCTTCTGGCTCCTTCTCATTCTCTGGCTTTTCCTGTCTTCACCTGGAACCTCTCTCTGTAAAACCGTTCCAGTAAATCTGCCTCCCCCACCCACACCTGCTGTTCTCTTAAATTTTGCCTCGTTCCTGTCTCCTTCACGTGAGAGTTGGGCATATCCTATCTCTGAGTCATTCTGTCCAATCGTTTTCTGATTTGTCACTTTGCCCCTCAGTTAGGATCACAATTCAAACATGTTTCTTCCTTCTACAAACTAACTTTACCTACACCGTTTGGGATTAAAGGTGTGTTCTAAGGGCAGCCAGAGGGATTAAAGGTGTGTGATATGTCTGCATTCCATCCAGATCACACAGCCTAGAAGGTCTCTGAATGTAATCCCTTGCCAGAGCACCCATGATTAAAATTCCTCTACAACTGTGTGCCTTTAATCCCAGTATTGGGGAGACAGAAACAGGAGGATCCCTAGGGCTGGCTGGCCAGAGAGTCTAGCTTGAATCAGCAAGGTCCAGGTTCAAAAAAAAAAGACCACTCTGCCTCAAAAAAAAAAAAAAGTGGCGAGCTAGGACTATGTCTCAGTGGAAGAGTCATGTGGCTCAAAGGAAGAGCTACTGCCTAGCTTTGCATAGTGAGGGACTGGGGTGTGGCTCAGGGGTAGAGTCCTTACCTAGAATCCTCCATTGGGGGACTAGGAGGTGTGGTCAGGGTTAAGTTCTTGCCTAGAGTGCCAAGACCTTGGGTTCTAGCACCACACATATACATACACAAAACATCAGAACTGTGGACAGTCAATTAGGAAAGCCCACTGAGTAAGATTTCCTTCTCCCACCAAGTGTTGCTAACACTGAGCCCTGGGGATGTCATCCTTGCCCCAGAAAGCACACCCTTTCTCCTAGCAGGCCATCTCCTTACCCCAGACACATTTTCACAATGTTCTTGGCAGCAAGGAGCTGTTGGTCAACTTGTGTTTTCAAATTTGAGCAATTTCACACAAGACAAAAATGTTCTGGATGAAGATTTTGGTAGTCTCTCTCTGTCTCTGTCTCTCTCTCTCTGTCTCTCTCTCTCTCTGTCTCTCTCTGTCTCTCTCTCTCTGTCTCTCTGTCTCTCTCTCTCTCTCTCTCTCTCTCTCTCTCTCTCTCTCTCTCTCT